TCTACGGTTACGCCCTGTACTTTATGAACTGTACACGCCCACGCAAGTTTAAGTGGAAACTGACGACGCTTCTCCCCTCGTTTATTCGCTTGTTCTTCTTCTGGTTCTATGCGAGTAGAACCAGTCAGGTCTGCAGGGGTACGTGTTTGCCTCCTCCTCTGCGCGCCTACTCGATCATCATCAAATTTAACATAAATTGCTAAAGGAGGCAATTTTCTCTCTGGATTTTCAACTATATATGTAATTATACCACATACCCCATTTACTAGACCGTCAGCCAAATCTACATTTTTACAAAGCATAACGCGCGCATTTACACCTAAAACTAATGTCTCCTCCAAACAGGCTAGTTTGGATTTACGGAGATGACCTTTTATTTCTGTTAACTTACCAGCGTTTTTGTCATATCCAAAATCACGCGCACTAATTGTAATGATTTCTGGACATACTTTATTCAGTATCTTTAAATTATAATTTGTAACAAAGCTATTCTTTGTAAAAATATGCAATACGTCTGGATCCTCGCCTGTTTCACATCGTTTTAATATATCTATATCATTATCAAGCAGTGGTGTCTCTCTTGAGCGCACTCTAAGTCGATTCAATAGCTCTGCAAAAGTGTTATCATTTTGTCTAACTACAGTTTTTAACTCCGCAATTTTGAATAAATCTGTAAATAGATTAACGCCTACATCTTCTTTGTACAGAGCGTGACCCATGACCGGCGATAATTGAAAGAAATCCCCAACTGCTATAATAGAAACATTTCCAAATGGAGAAAAGTCACTTGTCTGTTTAATTTGACGCAATCGACCATGAATATAAGTAAATAACTTTTTATCGACCATGGATATTTCATCAATGATTACAATTTGTAAATCCATGTATCTAACGCGCAAGGTATTAATCTTTTCCTCTCCTAGCGGAGTGTAGGGGAGGGAAACATTAGTACCGATACTAAACGTGGTGTGGATAGTTGCCGCCTGTAAGTTATACGCTGCTATCCCTGTCGGAGCCGTAAGTAAAACGCTAACACTATCCGGACTATGGCAAATAGGAGCAAACAATCGCGATGCCTCGTACTGAATTGCCCTGATCAAGTGACTTTTCCCAGTGCCTGCCCCACCCGTGATAAACACATGCAATGGCTCTGGGTTGCTACCGGCTACTTTATCTAAGCACCATTGCCGTATTTTGTAAAAAATGGACAACTGTTGCTCATTCAGAGTTTTCACAAGTGAAAGACCCTCTTGACGACTCATGACATTTCTCTTCTCTATATGACAAACTTGTTCGTTTCTTACAGCTAAGTCTGGAATAGCCTCTTGCTCCTGCTCAGAACCAACACCCTGCAACATCTCTCTGAACTCCTCCCTCGACTCCAACCTCTCAACTTCCTGTTCTGGGCAGAGCAAGCCCCACGCATCCTCCTGAATCTCTCCACACTCCATCTGCTCATACACTTCATCCAGATCCTCAGCTGCAAGTTCAAATCGACGCCTATTGGAATCAACTATCGACTTTACTAAATGAATCGACCCGTCGCTCAAACGCACATCACCAGTTTTATAGAAGTGTTCAAACGTTTCAAATGGAGGCGGCTTAAGGTCAGCCTCAACGCGATACGGAAAGAATAACTGAAGAATACTTTGATGAAATAACTCTGTGTTGTTAGTCTCAGAAAATCGCGCATATCTAACAACAGCAGGCTTGGTCCGTGTTCGTTTAGTAATTGCGCCTAATCTGTTTTGTAAAAGAATTGGGTTTTTACATTTATCAGACGGACCAAGTAAGCGATATTCGGATACGAATGTCGCAATGCACATGTCATTAAATGTGCTGTCATTTGGTCTACTCAAATAACGATCAATAATATTTGTCATCCAAATATCATCCCCCATTTCATCATCTATTTCGCCAATTGGTCTACTCATACGCACTATATTATCGCCGGTCGGGACAAAAGTAACTTTACGCGAAAACTCCTTTAAGTGCATGTTTGTTACGCGATAGACAGCTTCCTGCGCAGAGACATCACGATTATGAAGATAAACGCTGCCTAACTTTTTAAATGCCTCTTTCGCACTAACATTACCTTTGGAAGCTTCTTTTTGTGCATTACTTAAAAGTAAACCCATCTCTCTCTCAGCTTTAGAAATATACGAAATAATATATACGACGCACGCCCACGCATCTACAACGAACTGAATGTCCATGTTGGCATTCCAGCAAGTTAATAATTTCTCGTTGTAGTTATTTATAAATGCTTCTCTAACCTCCCTTTTTAAAACTATGTGTGTGTGTCCATCTAAAACGCTGTACACCTGTTCGAATGTGGACTGTGTTAACCCCAGTGACGCAAACAACTCTTCAAGACTAACACACAGGTTATTTTCATCAAGAACAGCATTCTTCAGCGCGCTCACAATTAACTGTGCCTCCTCCTTCTTAACAATAGGTTCAGATTCTGGGTCCTTATGTTTAATAAACGTACGCGCTGATACCGGACGCGGGAAGTTAAAACGACACACTTTGTTCTTTTTTCTACATGTTTTTGAGTGACGCTTAGAATGCTGCTGCACCGAAGCAACTTTTTCCAATAAATCCAGATCTGAGGGTATTTCACAGGTAACATATTTATCAACAAACTGAACTACCTCTTCATCTTTATTTACACCGAGCTTTGGGGCATTTTCTATCCAAAATAAACAATGGACGTGGGGAGACCCGCGCTGCTGGAATTCTACGCGATAAAAATAATCTATCACTTTACCGATGGGCTGAGCTGGGGACAGAATAACTTTACGCAAAAAACGATGCCAACGAGCATCAAACATCCGAGCCGCAGTTACAGGGTGACGACGCAAAAGATCACATCTCTCTGCCCAATCTAAATCTTTAACACTCCGAGTACTACCTTCCTGCTTTAAGAGCGTTTTAAGAAGGCTTGACCAGCGGAGATCAGCGGAACTAAACGAACAAAACCATGTCGGAATACCAAGCTGCCGAATGCACGCAAACAAATCCTTTTGTGCCGACTGCCAAAAGGGCGGTGTGCCTCTAATAGGCTGCATAAAACGATAGCCATTATCATACTGTAACAAATTTTCTAAAGTTGCTTCACCTGCAGCAGCATTACTGGGACCAGAATGTCCCTTTCGCAAAGCTATCGACACTTTTGAAACTACCTGCTGAACTTCTAACATGTACAAAGCCAAGAAAAGAAACTTAAAATTTTGCGAAAATCTACTATCCACATGCAAAAGCCGGTTAATAAAATACCTGCACATGGTCAAACGAATAGGCCGAGGACTATGAAATGTATTACGACCATATGGAAACTCCCTGGGAAAACATTTAGCCTCATTTTCTTTATCAGTTAATAAACTAACCGGACTATTCCCCTCAGCTGGAGCCAAATTTAAAACACCCTCAAAATAATGATCCAGCGCTTCCTGAGCGATATCGACCGGCATGAAACAAGTATCCTGGTACATACAGTGACGCTGTCTATCATGGAGAAGCTCATCATCTAAATCTTCTTCCTGCTTTTCTGTTTCTACATTAACTTCTGCACCTGTATCTACAGTTTCCTCTTCTTCCCTGGCAAACTCATTTACCCACTCTTCATTAAAATCAGTGTCAAAATAATATTGGTTGTTTTGTTTAAGAAACGCAATTGCCCTCCGTACACGCGCTGTGTCTACATACTGATACTCATAATGTCCCTTATACGTAAGTTTACGCTTAAGTTTAACAGGCAACAAACAACCGTCCATATTAGTACGCGGCAACAACCGAACTGAGTCAGAAACTCTTGACGGCACACAAACGACAGGGCCATGAATGCCTCTTTGAAAACCCTTTGGTAAAGCTAAAATTTGCATAAAATTAATATTAAGTGCAACTATATGCTGTTCAATAGTGTTCAAGCAGGAGAGTTCAGGTGGAATGTCGTCCAATTGTAAATTATTTATTGAACACTCAGGTGGCATCTGGCCTTTACACAGTTTTGAATTGCAAGTGTAACAGATCCATAAACTGCTTCTACAATCGAAAAGCGGGCATGGCGACGGACAATCGTTATCACACGCATGCAAATAGGCCTCTGAGATACACGCATTAGCTACATCCGCGCATTTTGGTTTAGCCATAAAGTCTTCCTTTCTACAAGGTAAGACCTGGTTTTTAAATAAGAGTTTTAAACACACGCAGCAAATGTATTCTGGACCATATTCACTTTCCTTTAAAAAACGTTCCATAACAACAGTAAAGTTTTCTAATTGTTGTTTCAATTGCTTTTGCTTGTTCCTGAATGTTGCCCGAGTCCTATTTCTAAATTCTTCATTAGTGTGATATTTTTGTTTGCCAAATGATTTTACATTCTGTTTATGCAGGGGATTTACTTTATACTTACCTTTACTGGCTGCTTTGACATTTTGTTTATGTTGTAGATTAACTTTATATTTGTGGATACTAGCGGCTTTAAGTCTATTTTGATAATTTAAATTAAGTCTATACTTATTTATACCAGCTGCTTTAAGTCTATTTTGATAATTTAAATTAAGTCTATACTTATTTATACCAGCAGCTTTAAGTTTATTTTGAAAACTTAAATTATCTCTATATTTGTTAATACTAGCCGCTTTAAGCTTATTCTGATATTCTAAATCTATGCTGTATTTATTTCTATATGTTGATTTAAGATTTTCTCTATATTGCATGTTGGTTCTGTATCTATGTTTATTTGACACATTAACTGCAGCCTTTTTCCCCTCTCTATACTCTACATCATCACTATAATTTTTCCTCCGTGTTTCTTTGATAATTTCCTGATGCTGGCTATAGCTATTTTTCACATGCTTCTGTTTTTTCTTCTGTATATACTTAGATAATACAGATTTTACACGAATTTCATCATCTACATTAACCAGAGCTACGTTTTTAGACCTAATATTATAGCCCTCCATTGACAAGCGATACATCTGGCAGCATTCATAACAAGCATTAGCATTCGGTATTTTGACGCAAGTTACATTTTCGTAATGACTGTTAATATTTTCTAGATAGATGCCACTGGACGACAAAGGCTTGGTAGTACAACCATATTTAAGCCAATGTCCATTATAAAATGTAAATACATTGACACCTAAATAATCCGCGGCGGCGTGAATTTCTACTTCAGTGGCCCATGTTCCAACTTTACGCATGTTCGACACGCTGATATAGTCTTCTACAGACAAATAACCATCGCGCAATAGTGTGTTATATTTTAAAGGATTATTTAAAAGGTGTTTCACAATCGCAAGTCTAATTTTCCTATGATCTTTTTGTGTGCCACTAATGGCCTGTGAAATTGCACGAAAGAAACAATTACCGTCCGCAACAATTTTGTCTTTGTGACACGGTGCGCCTAATGGACCTACAGTTTTAGGATCTGCCACACCAACCTTCTGAAACTCAGCCTTAATGTGTTTGCACAAGTCCTTACAATCACTTTCAGTAAGTGGATTGAAGGACAGGGCATTCTCTTGAACACTGGTGCACAGCACATCTAAGTCAA